TTATTAATAAAATCTGACAGCTGATGACAAATTATCAGAAAAAAAAGCCCCAGAAATGGAGCTCAAGTATCCCAAAAAAAAAAAGAAGTGTGGGCGACTCGTGTCCCATGTAGTGGTTTTGGGCTGTATACCGTCAGATATCGGATATCACTAAGCTTAGTCAAGACCCACTCAAGCGTAACTAATGAGAGCGATACGCGAAGAGGCCCCGAAAACCTCAGGAAACCCCAAAACGCAAACCGATCACCTCTGCGCATGTGCAACGATCGTGGCAGTGCTGGCTAACGATTTTGGACAAACAGCGACTCCAGCGAAGCTGAAAATGCATTTCGAGTGATTGGCAAACACGACCCGGCCATTTGTCCCCCTTTCCGCCTAATGGTTAAGGCAATGCTTTATGGCTAATGGTTGAATGGACATTTCGACGCCTTTTCGTGCACTTTTCGTGAAACGATTGCAAGTGCCCGATAAGAGTTTTTGACTCGTAAATCGTGATAATTATCGCGGCACAAGTGCATCGAAGGTTGGCCCACCTTGGGCCACTCTGGACATGTTCATGGTTTCGTGGCGCTTATTAAATTATTAAATGAACCGCTACACGAAGGAGATTTGGCTGCGGACTTGCACAATTCTGATCCCCGATTAGATAAAGGCTATAGCCTGCTTTTGGCACTCCAGCGAGAAAAACTTAATTAGGGACTTGGATAAGAGACCTCCTTAATAGCTTAAGAAAATGGTTCCCATACCCATATTATACCAAAAAGTCGTGAGGGGTTTTCATAGTTAAAGTTTCTTCTTATTAAACTGAGAAATTGATAAATATTTTTCTACAAATTTTGAAAAAGAAACATGTTATAGTTTTAACAAATAGTGTTTTTAATTTTAGAACAAATTAGATCAAAAAGAAATGCGACAAATTCATCACTTGATGGGAAATTTCACACACATAGTTTGGGTAAACACAATTTTCTTACCTTTCGCAAGTCCAAACCAAACATCCGCAGTGCCGGAATGGAGCGGGCAAGAACTATTTCCTCGGGATGCCACATACCCAGGTGACAACCGCAGACGCAGAAACTTTTACGATGCCCCATGGGCGGGACGTTCTGGGGCGGTACTGGTTGTAGGTACTTGAAAATTTAATGTACCCGGTCGGTGTTGGCTGCCAAACGCTTGACTTGTCCTCGGTCCTCAGAGGTTCGGGAAAAAGGCATAGACAAATGTCAAATATTTATTGAAAATAAACAAAACGGCTAACAAACAAGCAAACAAGCAAACTGACAAACAAGACGGCGACGGCACCGGCGATGAAAGGTGGTCTGGGGGATAGGGGGAACTGGGATGTTGGTTAGTTGGTGGCTGAGCAGCGTCAACAAATTTCCAAGAAAAGAAATGAAATGAAGGAAACTGACCAGAACTGAAGATGTTTGGTCATGCATCGGTGCAGCTCAGCGCTAAAAGCCGGGAAACAGTGGGAACCGAACGGGTTAGGATTGCTCCCAGACCAAGACCATCCACCAAGACCGAACCACCAAGTGGATAGATGACCGAATGGTAGGATCACCGACTGGACGCATGGATGGATGGATGACTGGACGCTGGTATGCCTAGATGTATGATGTATTCTTGTTGGGTCCCCCGTCAGTGGGTGCTTCAAAAGCTGCTGACCGATGGTGAGAAGAACATATGCTCTTGGCTGTCCACCACACAGTTTCACGTTTTTGGCCCCGTCCTCGCCATGGCCTCGCCAGCTACCGTCTACCGACTACCGGCTTTTTCTGTGACGTGCTCAAGTGGCTTCCAGTCCGAGTTCTTGCATCCATGTTGCGCCTGTCTGGTGCTCTGTTCGAGTTGTATTTTAGAAAAATATTTATCCATCCCCGGTCTGCGCCGACCGTTGATCGTGATAATGATGTTCATCATGGGACAATGTGGTCGATGACTCTGCTGGGTTATGCAAGTAATGCCTGATTTGGTATCGAAGACTGGTAGCTGCCACTCAATGGCCATTTGTTGTTGTTTGAATGACTCACGAGCATACTGTGTGGGTGATTTATGGAAGGGGGAAGTCATTTTTTGACTCCTTTGGATTGAAAAGTGGATAATTTTATTCAATTAAGAGATATAGATGTATTATCATTTCTGATTAATTTAGAAGCAACCTAAAATCAAGGGCAAAACTTCCCTGCAATCCAGTCCAGTCCATCTATCCTTAGGTTGAAAGCATTTCACTGTTCTCCGGTTTTTCATTCACATCGACATGGCGCATAAAGTACAGAAATATTTCCACTATTTTTGGACAGGCCGGCTGGGGGATTTGGCCATCTATCCGGCTTGGCCCGGCAACTTGGCCCAGCTCTGCTTGTTTTCCTTGTGGCCAATTATGCATACAAACAGACAGCTGGAGGTAGAAATTACAGAGGAATGAGCCATAGCTCCGCCACGGCCATATCCAGTTGCTGGATGCTGTGCTCTCGTTGCTTATTATTAAGTCGTTTTCCCTCCGTTTCAACTTCAAAGATTGCAATGGGAATTGGCAAATCGGGGGTACAATTAACGATAGACAGGCTGTTGTTGGGGTGATCCATGGAGCACGGTTCTCGGGTCCAATCAATTTTTCCCAAACACTTTGCATAACTAAATTACATTCAGCGGGCATTATAATAATGCCTTTCAGTAGCCGAAAAATGCATATAAATTTAATAAAGAGAAAAGCAAAAAAACAGACTGGACAGCCTCCGTGACGAAAGCTGTTTCTTATTTGGACAAGGCATTATATTCAAGGAGGATGACTCGGAGAATCCGGAGGGAGTCTGGGGAAGTAATCAAAAATTCGGCCATAAATAGGCTTCACAGGCAGACGGCCCTGTCGGGTGGACTGTCGGGAGCTGGGAAGCTTTTTGGCGAATGGCTCAATTACAAGAATGGCGACAATGAAAGAGTTGCGCTGGGGATGACGGGATGACGTTGATGTATCTGATGACGCCGGCCGAGGCACAAAGGAAGGAGCCAGAAGGAGCTCTTAAATTTAATGGAATATTTGTATACTTGGCAGGGGAAAGTAATCAAAATCAGAAGTGATTAAAGGCAGGAAAGAAAGTAATCAAAAAAATACAATTTTAAAGGGATGCTTTATTTTTCTCAAAAGTCACAACTTCGTCTTTCAAGAAAGCAGACTTATTGAAAACTATTCAACAAGAAACTAAACTGATAGACTAACCACAAAGTTGCTATTTGTCTTCAGCTGCAGAGTAATCCATAAATGTCGGCCAACATGCAAATCAATAATTTGAAACAAAGTTGTGAGCTTTTCACTTTCACTTTTGTGTTAAATCTTTGAAAAATAACTTACCACTAGACAACTTAGAAAAAACCAAACTTGTAGAAAAGATTTTTGTTAAAAGAGATCGAAACAAATGTCTCTCCAACAAAAGGAGAAGCATAAAAACACTGCCCTGAGCAAAGTTCAGGCGTAAAGTGTTAAGAGCTTGAAAGGAAAACTTATCGACAGCTGTCAAAACGGCCGTAGAGCTCCGGAGGAAACCGGCAAATGGCATTTAAATGTTTTGACAAATGACAAATTTTGCGGTAGCCAGAAACGAAAAATAGGCAAAGTTAAATAACTGTTGAAAGCCAACTGATGGCGGTTGGGGGCTGGAGGCTGGAAGTGGCCTTTTCAACGCGGCAACATGGACACCCGAACATATTTTTAAGTTACGTCTGGGCCTCTTGGCTCCCGACACCCCAACTTAGAGCCCGATACTCCGACACCACTCGAATTTATTCACGTTTTCTGCCGCTGACAGCTTAAGTGAGAAAAGTTTTGCTGATTAAATGATTTGACAAATTGAATGCGCCACAAAAAATGAAAATATTTATAAATTTTTAATCAGCCTAATAAGAGGAGGTACGAGGCTGTGAAGTTGAAGTGTGTGTGGTAGGCAAATGTGTAAGACACTTTCTTGCTTATTCTGATTTATTTTGATATTGCTTGGGAATGGAATGCTGGCTCATTGCTTTTTCTTTCCCCATTTAACCCATTCAAACTTCACTTTTAAGTTCCTCAACTTTTCTCATTCTCTACGAAAGTTTGTTTGGTAATCCAGCCCTATAACTTATGTGCCATTTTCCTGCAATTACGTCAACAGTTCTGTCTTGTTGGCCAAAGTTTTGTGTTGACAATTGCCAAAAAACGAAGAAAAGCAACTCAAACGTATACAAAGGCAAACAGCAGTGGCAGTCGTACTACCAACATTCTGCAATTTGGAGCTACCGACATGCAAATGGCATACCAGGTCAACATTTGGGCACCAACTGCCAGGCAACTGCAACCTGGAAACCTGGGGGCCAGGTGCTGTTGGTCAGCGATAAAGTTTATCTCGAAAGTTGCCTTGTTTTGGTTATCTGTGCACACCGTGAGATACTTGTGCATTTTTCATGCAAGCCAAGCAGCCAGATAGCCAGATAGCCAGCCAGCCAATCAATAATTCTCATGGCACAAAGTTCAGAGCAATCCAGAGCAGCTGCCTCTGTGGGTGATTTATTGGCAATGTTGTCTTGAGGGCTTGTTCTCAACTTGTTCGGTTTGAGCAATTTAATTGATTGGCCTGGGAAAATCTGTCAGACTTTGAATAATGGATATGGTCAATCCAAAGTTTATTGGGTATCTGATTTCGGTTGTCAGGATTAAAGTTTTTTATTAATATATAAGTTGTTCATTTGGTCAAAGCTCAAGGGTGATGATTTGCGTGAAATTTAATTATAATTATAAACCTCTTTTCTCTTTTTTTGAGTGTCGACAGATTTCTTAAAGGGATAAATGTAGTTTAGGGATATAATATTTGAATTAACTACTTCGTAGAAAGTTATTAAGATTAAATTATTATAATTATTAGAGAGCTACATGATTATGTTTCTTTTGATACTTCCTGTATCACATTTTAATTTCCTTTACAAAAATTACTTTTAATACTAATTGAAGTTTTTAATCTGATTTGCAGCCGTTCGATTGCTCAACAGACAGCAATCGGATGAATATTCCGTCGCCGGAGCCTACAGTGGCCTCTATCCGCCGCTCTTCAATGTGGCACCCCGGGCGGCGATCACCGTGAATGCCACATGCGGCCAGAACGGGGCCGAGGAGTACTGCAAGCTGGTGGACGCCTATCCCCACCGCAACTGGGCCAAGCAGTGCGGGACCTGTAATGCCCATTCCTCGGACCGGGCCAAGCAGCGTCCGATCCAGTCGCTCATCTCTTCAGGACCCGAAGAGAGCTGGTGGCAATCCCCGACGCTGCAGGGTGGCCGCCAGTTCGAGTACGTGACCATCACTCTGGACCTAAAGCAGGTGAGTCCAGGCACATTCCCAGATGAGGTGCCATCGAAATTTTAAGAGCCGTCTGCCATTGGCACGGCTAAGCTCTTGTGACAGACGAGCTGTGATCCAGTTTGTAATTAAGCCGCCGAGTTGTCACTCATTTACAAGCGATTTAACGCCATCGCCGTGATCCATGATCCGTCTACGAACATGCCTTCGGCTTGTCTCCCGTCCCATTGAAAATTTGAAATATGATCATTGCGCTGCCAGAATGGAATCGAAACCAGTTTGCCGTTCGATGGCTGGTCAATTTCTAATGCTCAGAACGGTTAACATAAATTGGATTTGATGGAGTTTTGATTAAGTCATATAGGCTTACACACTCGTGTCTTGGAGAGACTTTCTCTGGCTGTGAAATAAGCTTTCATTTCCTGAGTTGCAAGGAGGCTTATTAATAAACAAAGGTCTTAGGCTGTGTGTTTGTAATATAATGTTTCCAAACAAATTCTCTACTTAAATTGGCATAGACCTCCCTGAAGGCCTCCATTACCATATTTTATTTCACACTTCCCGCGGATCTTTAAACTCGATTGGGCGCTAATTGTTCGCCGATAGTGTTAATTGGAATTTCAAAGTGCACTCACCCACAACGAATCGCCCCCAGTGATCATCGCTCATGATCATGATGATCAGATCTTCTGATCCGTGCTTTCCCAATCGACCCTACTACGGGCAGTAATGTGCTGAAAAATAAGGAGAAATGGGACAGAAATGTTCATCATCTGTTTAGCATCATCCGACGCAAAGTTGACATTTCAAGTGCAGCTTGTGCCTGAGGCTTCTTCGAGAGATATTTCAATGTTTTGATATAATTCTTTCACTGCCATATGCCCTGGCCCCGGGTACAGACACACAAAGTTGCTGCGGACCAAGGCAAAGGCATTGAGTGTGCACTTAATTAAAACGAGAAGCTGAAAAGAGGAGCAGCATCCACACAGACTGGAAGTGATTTAAAATTAAAAACATTGTTTTTGCATATGCCTTAAAGTATGAAAGATTTATGACAGCCATGCGTTGCTCTCAGCGTTTATTAATAAATTCCTGCACGTCTACGTCCGACCCTCTCCATTGAAAAGGGGTCTTTGCCGACAGCATCAAAAATATTTAAATTGGTCTCTTCACTTAATTAATCCAGACAGTGCCTATTTCTAGTTGGTTACCAGCCAGAATCAAAAATGTCAACCCTTTTATGGCTTTTCCTTAATGCCAATTTAAAGTGCAATTGTCGAATGTTGAAGTACATTTTTGGTCAGACATCGACAGCAAAATTTATTGCTGATTTTCTCATGATTTCTTGAGGCGAGGACTGGATCCGAATAAGAGGAGCATGTGTCAGAATTTTCACGCTCCCATTACGTTGATTTGCTTGAGGGGCGATGAGTATTCATTCACAGCTTGTCAGATATATTTTCTGTTGAATTTTCATCAATGCTGATTTTTTTCTACACCACTTTTCTTCCAAATACCGAACCCTGAGCTGTTTCACAAATATTTCTTCATCAATACTACACTCCATACCCCACAAAATTACCTTAATTCCCTTCCTCTGTTAATCACTAATTAGTTATCCCCATAATTAAGTGTATTGTGTGATTTGCTGGCGGAAATATCTTAAACATGTGTCACCACTATTTAGAAACACATTAGTAAAACATCTCCCTCTGTTCTCCCCCCAATTCCCGAAGCCAACCCAAACGGAACACAATTTATGACCTTTGACGAAAACTTGACATTGACGATGGTGTGTCTGGGCTCCGATTCATGGGCGACTTCCAGACTTCCATGGCTGCTCTGAGGAGTGGATTTTAACAATTAGACTAATCGAGTGATTTACAATAACAACACACAGCCAGATAGAAACGACAGGCGTGTGTCAACGATTTGACAGCTTAAAATATTTCTTGTCGCCGGGGAAAGGCGACAGACTCCGGCCGCTAGACCGGTCAGAACTATATAATCTGCCCCTCTATGTGTCTTTTTGTCAGTCAGTCCGTCAGTCAGTCAGTCAGTCAGTCAGTCAGGCAGGCAGTCAGCCATCCAGTCTGTCAGTTGGCCAGTAAGCAGTCTGTCAGCCTGTCTGTTCGTACAACAATGTCTAGATTTATGCTTCAATGGCTTTCCGGCGCGCGTGACTAATTGAAAGTCTAGCAAGAATTCTACAAAGAACACAGCCAGTGGGCCTCCCAACTGTGCAAGGAGTTTCTAGAAAAAAATATATATACATATTTTCTTAAAAAAAGGAAAGCATTTGTGAAAGTGACTTCAAGGTTTTGTCTTGTTTATTTTCAAAAATAGTTTTAAACAAATATTTCAAGACTTCCATCTGAAGTTTCAAACATGTTTGAACATATAGATATAATATTGTAGAACAAGTTTTAATAAAAAAAATAATTTAAAAAAATCCTAAATTACGATTCTAAAACTTTAAAAACTCCAGCCTTAAACCTTAAAATAAGATACCTATTTCTTTGATATTTTTGCCGGCAGACATCTAACTAGTGGCTAGTCACTAAAATACGGCTATATCCAATTTGAAATGTTTTATGTTTGCTTTTCCATAACTTTTTCGTACAGACATTTAATTGCTTCATTAAGTTTAGCCAAATTTGGCAAAAAATAAAATCCGAGGGGCCGGTCATTTGGCATCGCAACTGTATTGGTTTCGCAACTGTAATTCAAATGTTTGACAAGTTGTTGCAACATTTGCAGCACCGCAGAGTAGCAGCAGCAACAACAAATACAATCTGGTAACAAAAACAAATGCCACATCAGCAGGAACCAACAAAAACAACAACAAGCAAAGCGTGTTACAAGCCACGTACGAGACGCATTTTAGGCACAGCAATTATTTTAATGGTCAATTTATTTATTTGTTTTGGTTGCAATTTCGGCTTTTTTTCTTCGAATTTGCCTTTTAAAGAATGTTTCCCCCGTTGTTTGTGCTGCTGCAGCAGATTGTTGCATTTGCATGGACTTCCTTTCCCGAAAGCCCCTGGTTTTTGGGGCTGGGACTTTAACGTGATTGAAGCTTTGCTTGAATTGTTTTCATGTCGTTTACCAGGAAGTGGTTTTGGGTTTTAATGGCCAAAGATGCTGTGGGACAAATACATTCGGGAGTGGTAAAGTTAGGGAACTAAATAAATTACCAGGGTGATACTTAATGATCTTGAATCAAATGTATGACCTTTTGGAAACATAACGATATGGTTTTCAGTTATTCAAAACCACATTCCTTTACCTTAAAAGCTTGTATTCGACTTGGCATTTATTCTCCCAACACCGTAGCTGTTCAGTTGAGATAAAAATACCATTTTTCGCCTCAAGTCCAAACAAGTTATTCAAAACTTTAGCCATTCTTGAGCCGCATTAATGCACCAATTTTCCGAGATAGCAGCTCACAGCAGACACCAAACTTTTCGATTACTTCAGGGTGAGCCACCGACACGTCGGAAGGCCCCACTGAGCGATAGAGGAAAAGAAAGAAAATGTGCAAATATATGTATAGGAGAAGCATGTCTGCCATGTGGGTTCATTCACCATTTTATCTAAAAGCGTGCCAACTCAAAAACGAACAAAAAACGTACATCAGTTTTGGTTTCTTCAAATGGGCCAGAAAACCGTGTAATATGCCAAAAAAATATGCCGAGATAATATGCTGTCTACTAGCAGCTCCAAATAAAACTAAAAGCCAGAGCCCTAAATTCGTTGTCTTTTATTTTTGGGGCTACAGTCTGTCTACTTCAATTTTTTGCTTGTTTATTTTTGAGAAAATTTTACGATGCCATTGGGGTCTGAGGTTCCCCCTGGGTCTGAATTTTTGGCAATTAACGGAGTGTCCGTGTTAGTTTTTGGCGGCTGTTGGGGAGAAAGTTTCCTGTGGGTTATGCCTGACGGAGTCTCTCATTGAGCGATAAATATTTGATTGCCATAAACGGTAATTCTCGTAATTTTCGGCATGCTATATGTATGTCCTCCCTAACCACTCCATTTTAGCCAAAGTTTTTGTTTTGACTGGCTGCCGTCTCATTACCAATTAACTTGTCTCGTCCGAATATTTAGATAAGTCTCTATGGTCTCTGGCGATATCAGTTGACAAAGAATCTGGTAACAGGTTTCGGCTATGGAGGTATGGAGGCGAATCTGCAGATCAAATATTTATACAAAAGCGTAATTCTCAACTGATGTACGATGTAAACAAGTTTGCTGTTGTTGCCGTCAATTGGTCAAAACTGATAAAAACGTCAATATGTTACCCTTGAGGCCTTCACCTGCACATTCTCCGATTGGGATCTACAACGATTTTCACATCTCCATGGGGAGGGAGTCCACGAAGACGTTGCTTCCTCTATTTGGAACTCGTTTCAACGCATTACCCAACAGAAAAACCGTCCAGGAGCTAGACTGGCTCTTCAACTGATTGCAATCAGGGCACTTGATGGGGACAACATAATTCACTATGGATAAATTATCTGCGGCTGTTCGAATGTGTCAGGTTCAGTGGCTCAATGAACTGAAAGCGGAAGTGCTGCGATATATTTTAAATTGCATACCCTTTCGAGGGGTATTATATGCATCCTCATTTTCATATAATCCATGTATCCGTAACTAATTATAAAAACTAACCAAAGCTGTAGGCCATATAGGCCGCCCCATGCATTTCCCCATTTTCAAGGGAGTCCATGGGAAAAATTGACAAAAAATGGAATCGAAAATGGGTTCCAAGGTTTTGATGCATTTTGATAGAGAATCGATCCAGAAATCGTTGAAGGTATTCCGTTTAACGATCGGATCAATATTGGCAGAGATATGGACATCGCTGTGGCCCATATAGGGCATCCCATGTATTTCCCCATTTTCAAGGGAGTCCATGGGAAAAATTGACAAAAAATGGAATCGAAAATGGGTTCCAAGGTTTTGATGCAGTTTGATGGAGAATCGGCCCAGAAATCGTTGAAGCTATTCCGTTCGACGATCGGATCAATATTGACAGAGATATGGGCATCGCTGTAGGCCATATAGGCCGTCCCATGAATTTCCCCATTTTCAAGGGAGTCCATGGGAAAAATTGACAAAAAATGGAATCGAAAGTCGGTTCCAAGGTTTTGATGCAATTTAATAGAGAATCGATCCAGAAATCGTTGAAGGTATTTCGTTGAACGATCGGACCAATAGTGGCAGAGATATGTACATCGATGTGGGCCATATAGGCCTTCCCATGCATTTCCCCATTTTCAAGGGAGTCCATGGGAAAAATTCGCAAAAATGGAATCGAAAATGGGTTCCAGGTTTTAATGCAGTTTAATAGAGAATCGATCCAGAAATCGTTGAAGCTATTCCGTTCGACGATCGGATCAATATTGACAGAGATATGGACATCGCTGTGGGCCATATAGGCCGTCCCATGCATTTCCCCATTTTCAAGGGAGTCCATGGGAAAAATTGACAAAAAATGGAATCGAAAATGGGTTCCAAGGTTTTGATGCAGTTTGATGGAGAATCGATCCAGAAATCGTTGAAGGTATTCCGTTCAACGATCGGATCAATATTGGCAGAGATATGGGCATCGCTGTGGGCCATATAGGCCTTCCCATGCATTTCCCCATTTTCAAGGGAGTCCATGGGAAAAATTGACAAAAAATGGAATCGAAAATGGGTTCCAAGGTTTTGATGCAGTTTGATGGAGAATCGACCCAGAAATCGTTGAAGCTATTCCGTTTAACGATCGGATCAATATTGGCAGAGATATGGACATCGCTGTTGCCCACATAGGGCGTCCCATGCATTTCCCCATTTTCAAGGGAGTCCATGGGAAAAATTAACAAAAAATGGAATCGAAAATGGGTTCCAAGGTTTGGATGCAATTTGATAGAGAATCGATCCAGAAATTGTTGAAGGTATTCCGTTCAACGATCGGATCAATATTGACAGAGATATGGACATCCCTGTGGGCCATATAGGCCTTCCCATGCATTTCCCCATTTTCAAGGGAGTCCATGGGAAAAATTGACAAAAAATGGAATCGAAAGTCGGTTCCAAGGTTTTGATGCAATTTAATAGAGAATCGATCCAGAAATCGTTGAAGGTATTCCGTTTAACGATCGGATCAATATTGGCAGAGATATGGACATCGCTGTGGGCCATATAGGCCTTCCCATGCATTTCCCCATTTTCAAGGGAGTCCATGGGAAAAATTCGCAAAAATGGAATCGAAAATGGGTTCCAGGTTTTAATGCAGTTTAATAGAGAATCGATCCAGAAATCGTTGAAGCTATTCCGTTCGACGATCGGATCAATATTGACAGAGATATGGACATCGCTGTGGGCCATATAGGCCGTCCCATGCATTTCCCCATTTTCAAGGGAGTCCATGGGAAAAATTGACAAAAAATGGAATCGAAAATGGGTTCCAAGGTTTTGATGCAGTTTGATGGAGAATCGATCCAGAAATCGTTGAAGGTATTCCGTTCAACGATCGGATCAATATTGGCAGAGATATGGACATCGCTGTTGCCCACATAGGGCGTCCCATGCATTTCCCCATTTTCAAGGGAGTCCATGGGAAAAATTAACAAAAAATGGAATCGAAAATGGGTTCCAAGGTTTGGATGCAGTTTGATGGAGAATCGACCCAGAAATCGTTGAAGCTATTCCGTTTAACGATCGGATCAATATTGGCAGAGATATGGACATCGCTATGGGCCATATAGGCCGTCCCATGCATTTCCCCATTTTCAAGGGAGTCCATGGGAAAAATTAACAAAAAATGGAATCCAAAATGGGTTCCAAGGTTTTGATGCAGTTTGATAGAGAATCGATCCAGAAATCGTTAAAGGTATTCCGTTCAACGATCGGATCAATATTGACAGAGATATGGACATCGCTGTGGGCCATATAGGCCGCCCCATGCTTTTCCCCATTTTCAAGGGAGTCCATGGGAAAAAATGACAAAATACTGAATCGAAAATGGGTTCCAAGGTTTTGATGCAGTTTGATAGAGAATCGATCCAGAAATCGTTGAAGGTATTCCGTTTGACGATCGGATCAATATTGACAGAGATATGGCCATCGCTGTGGGCCATATAGGCCGTCCCATGCATTTCCCCATTTTCAAGGGAGTCCATGGGAAAAATTGACAAAAAATGGAATCGAAAATGGGTTCCAAGGTTTTTATGCAGTTTAATAGAGAATCGATCCAGAAATCGTTGAAGGTATTCCGTTCAACGATCGGATCAATATTGGCAGAGATGTGGACATCGCTGTGGCCCATATAGGCCGTCCCATACATTTCCCCATTTTCAAGGGAGCCCATGGGAAAAATTGACAAAATATGGAATCGAAAATGGGTTCCAAGGTTTTGATGCTAAAATTAAGCTACTAAATTACTTATTAAGCTATACTAAATTAAGCTACTAAGTTAAGAATCTTATTCAAAGTTTAAAAAGTTACAATCTTCAAAGACTCCAAAGTCAACAATAAAACTAAAATAATCATGTAGAAGAATGGTAGATCCCCTAAGTACTTCTGCAATTAGTCACCATGGCAATTCTTCACTTAAATCCATTTACGTTCGAATCTGTATTTGCGAATGCTGATACCCAGTGCCGGCCTCTTTCACTTGTTCAGGCCCCTAATCTTATCGGCTTGACAGGCGCTGTTGTTGCTGTAATCGAATACAGGCGGCACCCAATAAGGAGAACGCACGCATGCGCGCACCGTCTTCCCACTCTTGGGTTTTCGCGTTTTATCGGAGCAAGGAGAATGTGGGCCTGGGCGGCGGAGACGATGTTGGCGATGCCATTAGCTACTTAGTGAGTTGCGGGTAAACAAGTGGCTTTGAAATTTGATAGAGTTGTTGTGGAGTTGCTCTCGTCTCGACTATCTTTCCGAGCCGCAGATACCGATTGGCATTTGGTGGCTGGGCTTATGATGATGACTGGGCTAGCGAAAAAATATATCTGGCTTGTTGGCGCCATGTGGCTGGAATAAGCCAATGCGTCGTAATCAATTATACACCTGGCCACACCTTCGACACAAGTCGCAAGTCGCCCGTCGTCCGTCGCCCGCCTCAAGATTCAATTGCATGCCTTTTATTGATTTTTTTCCGTTTTGGCCCGCTTGGATTTGTGTGGCTTTTTTGGTCACTGATCTTCGATAGGCGCAACATTTTCAGCGTCTCGAACACGCGACGTTTTTAGCATTTTATTTTTCTCATTTTTTGGGTTGGCTTTTTTAAAAATTTTCCGAAATATCGTTTGTCAGCTGGGGCTGCCTGCCGGCCACGTTGAAAGAGCTTCAGTTGGGCGGCAATTTTTGGAGGGTCGGGCCTGCGCTGCCTGCGCCTGCGGTTGGTTGACAGTTTGGGAAATTTATGACGCGGCGATGGCAATGTTGGGTTAAAAGATTTTGCCAGCACTCCGCAGCTAAGCCGAGATACCGATGCAGTTTGTTGGTAGTCGCCGATGCAGAGATATTGTATATGCTTGCAGCCGAATAGAAACATCAGCGGTGACAGAAACACCGACATTTGGGTGCGTAGTTAATTTATGGCTCATTTGTCCGGAGGCTACAGAGCCGTGAAACTGAAATCTCTGGGTGTTTGGTGGGAAAATTCATACTTCATTAGATAAGATAAAAAAAAACAAATAATAATAATAATAGAGACATTAAACAGTTCATCCTGAGCTCTACTGCCTTTTGTAGAATTCTTTTTTAAATAACGCCTTTCTTCTCTCTTCAATTCCAGACCTTTCAAATCTTCTTTGTGATGCTTAAGTCGGCCAATTCTCCTCGTCCCGCCTCCTGGATTCTCGAAAAGTCCCTGGACGGCATTACCTTTGAGCCCTGGCAATACTTTGGCCTAAACGATGCCGACTGCCAGCGGCGCTGGAACCTCCCGGGCCAGAACGGAAAGTACGTGTTCCAGAACGACACGGAGGTGATCTGCTCCACCCAGTTCTCCAAGCCGCTGCCTTTGGAAAACGGGGAGCTGCATGTGTCGCTGCTGAAGAACAGGCCTGGAGCCAAGGATCAGACCCCGGAGCTAATGGAGTTCATCACGACACGCTACATGAGGATCCGGCTGCAGGGCATGCACTCCACGGCCAACCTGGACAACAGTGTGGACTGGCTCCTGGACGCCGCGTCCCTGGAGAAGCGCAGCTTCTATTCTTTGAAGCAGCTGAGGGTGAGTGCCCGGCTGGACTGCAACGGACATGCGAACCGCACCCAGGAGGCGCAGCGGCTGCAGTGCCTCTGCCAGCACAATGCCTGCGGCGAACAGTGCCAGGAGTGCTGTCCCCTCTTTCAGGATCGCCCCCACCGCATGGGGGAGGAGTGCGAGGTATGTCAGTGCAATGGTCATGCCGAGAGCTGCACCTACGACCCGTTTCTGGACAAGGGAATCTGTCAGGATTGCTCCAACCACACGGCCGGCAATGAGTGCGAGTTCTGTGAGGCAGGATTCTTCAGAGAGTTGGGGGCCCCTCCCACGGAGCCATGCCTGCCGTGCTCCTGCAACCCGGCTCGTTCCACGGGCAGCTGCCAGCCGGCGGGAGGAAACTGCAACTGCCTCGAGGGCTTCCAGGGACGGAACTGTGAAGAGTGTGCTCCGGGCTTCTATGGCGACAATTGCAAGCGGTGTGAGTGCGACGAAAGGGGAACTCTACCGTCGGATGGATCCTGCTCCGGCGACTGCAAGTGCAAGCTGAATGTGGAGGGCAGCACGTGCTCCGAATGTGCATCAGGCTACTTTGACCTTTCCAAAGACAACCTCCTGGGGTGCACGAGCTGCTGGTGCTCTGGCGTCTCCCAAACCTGTCACAGTGCCAGGCTCCAGACACTGGCCTTCGAAACCCTGACCGACTGGAAGCTCACGGACATCCAGCGACTAAATGCGATCTCAGTGGCCGTGGATGCGGATCAGAAGAGACTGATCTACGCCAGTGAACTGGACGATGTGGAGGCCATCTACTGGCAGGCCCCGGTGGGCTATCTGGGCAACCGCCTGACCAGCTACGGTGCCAGGCTTCAGTTGCTCCTTTCCTGGGGAGTGATGAGGGGCGACACCTCCGGCAAGCCCACCACAGGCCCTAATGTAATCCTCTGCGGGCGGAATGGTCTTAAGGTTGCCTATGCGGACGAGTCCTTTGCGGGCCTACATACGGCCTTAAATGTGACCCTCACCGAGGAGGGCTGGTACCATGTGCCGCCATCTATTAAGGACATCAAGACCCGACTCCGGCGTACCGAGGGAGGCGACTACCACGGTGAACCAGTCACACGTTCGCAGTTCCTCTCCGTCCTAGTCTCCCTTGAGGCTGTCCTGATCAGAGCTGCTTTCCACACCGACCAGGTGGAGACCTCGCTGGAGCAGGCCGTCATCTATTCCGGAGGGGTGGAACTGGGTGGCCAGTCCTCCAGCAGCCATGTGGAGCAGTGCGTCTGTCCCGCCGGTTACACGGGACTTTCATGTGAGGGTTGCGCCTTCGGCTACAAGCGCATCTACGAGAACTCCTCGGACCACCAGCTCCTGAGCAAGTGCATCCCCTGTCCATGCAACGGGCACTCCAACTCGTGCGATCTGCAGAGCGGAAACTGTGGCGACTGCATGCACAACACCTTCGGAGATCGGTGAGTAAAATTTATTTAAAAAGATTAAATAATATTTAATAAATAAAATTAAAAATTAGTTATTTTTAAGAGTATACTTATTAGTTTTTTAAACTAGAAATATATACCCTCAAAACACAATCCACATACAATCCACCCAAAGACAAATACCAACCATGGTTCAAAACAAAGCTAACTCACCACACTTATCTAGTATACCAACCATTTAGTCTAACCACAAACCACTAAGAGTTATTTTTAGAACTTTTTCTTTAAAATCTGTTTTTTAATTCTTTTATTTTTTGTAAATTTTAATTTTTTTTTTTTTATAATTTTCCTGCTTTTGCAGTTGCGAACGTTGCCAGCTTGGCTACTACGGAAATCCGTTGCAAGGCACCCCCCAGGACTGCAAGAGGTGCGCCTGCCCCTTGGCGGAGGAGTCGAACAATTTCTCGCCGAGCTGCCAGCTGAAGAGTTACAACTACCGGGACTTGAATCCCCAGTTCGAGCTGATCGAGCACGCGGAGTATATCTGCACCCAGTGCCCGGAGGGCTATACGGGTGACCACTGCCAGGTGTGCGACGACGGCTACTACGGAGACCCGCTACAGCTGGGGAGCAGCTGTCAGAGGTGCGACTGCGCCGGCGGACCTTGCAACGTGACCACCGGCGAGTGCATCACCTGCCGCGGCAACACCGAGGGCTGGCACTGCGAGCGCTGCAAGATGGGCTACTGGGGTGACCCGGCCGTGGGCTGTGATCAGTGCAGCTGCCATCCCGAAGGATCCGAAAGCGGGCTCTGCGACAGCACCGACGGTCAGTGTCTGTGCCGACCGCGGTACGCGGGTCAGAAGTGCGATGAGTGCGACGTGGGATTCGCCCTGGTGGAGCTGCGATGCCCCGCCTGCAACTGCGACCCCCTGGGCTCGGCCGTCCTGGACAGGTGTGATCCTCGGACGGGACAGTGCCAGTGTAAGGTGGGCGTGATGGGGGCCAAGTGCCACGAGTGCCAGGACGGCTATTTCGGCATGAATGCCAGTGCCGATCGTCTGGAAGATATGGCTGCCTTGAGGCAAATCAGCGACGACGACGATGATGATTGGGAATTGGTATCGGGATCGGAAGACTCCCCCGTGGATCCAGCCACGGTGGCATGCGAGGGTAAGTGCATATGTACCTCACACTGCAGCTGTAAGAACAAAGAAATTCCTCGGAACGAGTTCAGAGTGCATCTAAGAGAAACAGATGGGAGGTCCATCAATAACTCGGAAAACATAATTAAATCGGTGTTCTACTTTGGGCCGCTAAGTGAAGCGTTTCTGGTGCTCTCCATTGGCCCCAATTTGAAGAGCTTAATGCACAAATCAGTCAAGTTCTGGGTGGGATGGTGCTGCTACAAATTGATGTTCATTTGTATTAATCATCAGAGAAATAAAACTTTTAAATTAAACCCCATAACCTAGCTGGCAGGGAGATAACCTTAAATATTAACTAACCGAAGGGGTTGATCTTACAAATACTGTGGGTTTATTCCAGATTCGAGCCATGTAATAGCTTTAAATCATAAATTGCCGTTCAATTACTAGTTTCTTCTGGCTTCCAAATTATTATTTTACTCGGGGCCATTACTGCCTCAAATCCAACTCATCCATCATTCAAAATGCATTACATACCACACACCATTGTAAGGAGATACTCTTTGTTGGCCAGTTCTCCTTGAAGTCGGGTTTCTATCTTTATTTTTTCCCAAACACCATTTACAGAGTGGACAATGGGCAAAAAGCCGTCTCGTCTCAAGTAACCTCTTGCCTCGGTTGTGTAAACCGAAAAGAAGATGTCTTACTGTGTCCATTGAGTTGTACTTGAACAAGAACTCGGATTGCATAACACCATTTAAGCCTTTTCTTTTATTTAAGTTTACTTTTGTTGGGCAGAGGGTCTACGGCAGGTCTATCTCTTTTTCTAATTGTTGGGCTGTCATTACTTCATGCTTCTGGTAAATTGCAATTTTGGTTACGTCTCTTGATTTTATGACAGTCGAGGGCTGAGTTTTCTTCGCTTTTTTGTTAGTCAGTCAGGCCTTGAAATTAATTTTCCAAGAATTTCTAGCATTTTTTTCAATAAATTCTCGTAGTTCTTGAAAATAAAAGTTGCATATTTTTAAACAAAAAAGCCAACTCTTGGCAGTTGTGTCAAGAGTCACTTTCAAAACCTAAAACACGAGCATTCAATACTAAAACTAATGGCATGGATATCTAAATCATGGCAAACAATAAATGTCAAGAATTTATGCAAATAGCCGTCCCACAACATACATAACATGCCTCCTCTCTTAAGGTTTTGAATGCATATGAATTACTCAATTTTTTAAGGAACATACGAGCCGATTACTGAAATATATATAACAGTTTCTTAAAATTTTGAATCCAAAAACATTAGATCTCCATTAGATATTATTATTTTGAAAAAAGTCTAAACAGTAAAATCCCTTCTTGAAAACCCTTTGTCAGAGAACAATTCTGACTCCAAGTATTACTCAGAATAACGGCTATACCTCAGTGGCATATCCGACTTGGCATTTGAGGGGCACTTGGCCATTTTCCAAGACAACAACAAGCAGCAAGCAGCTCACATGCAACATTCGCCAACAGTAGCACGTGCGTTTGGACTTGGGCTCGGTGGAAATTTATAACCCACGCATTAAATTGTGCAGCTATCTAAGAAATTAAGCAGCAAACTGCGAGATACATTTAGCCGCTGGTCATATTTTGTAATCAGTTCCATTTGCCGCTCACCAAGCAGCAGCAGCAGCCACAGCACCAAGTAGCCTGCCATGACTGAGAAAAACAACAAACCCCCAGCCCCAGACACACTTTTGTGTGCTGGCACTGGCCAGTGGCCACAGCAAAGTCACAGAGCCGTTTGGAGTCGGACTCCGGCACAGACAGCATGGAGCCGCGGTGGTGTCCAGTTTTAAGCCCGAACCCAGCCCAATCCAAGCCAGGCCAACCACTTTGGCAATTCAAGCCGAGCGGCATATTTTCATGGGGTCTGTGTGGCTGCTGCGTTGACATTTTTATGGGCATTGGAATGCTCGGGCCGCAGACTCTTAAACAGACCCCGAAAAAATGGTAAAAATTGGAAAATGGCAAACAAAATCGAATCCACTTTGACTTTGCCCCTTTTTTACTTTTTGGTCAACTGATTAGCGAAACAATTTCAAATATTTGTGTTGAATAGTTTGACAATTAATTGCATTTCGTGGATGCGGCTGCGTTTGTTGTGGTTTCGTGGGTTTTCGGAGATCAGATCCAAATGAAGTTATACGATTTGTGAGCAAATTGTGGCATTGGCGGCTCCTTACAAAGACTTGAGTTTATTTTCGGATGATTACTGGTCTGAATAATTCCTAGAAGAGCAAGAGAAGAGATCGCATTCAATTAAATCGAAATTATTTGAACAAAAAGTCTTCCCTGGGACATGTGCAAGCAATTTGAAATGCTTCGGTTCTCAACTAGGCCAGACAATTACAAAATTATACTCACAAAATGGCAACAAAAAATCGTGTGTATAAAGTGTTGTGGCAAGTGGCGCAGTATCTTTTTCACCAAGCTGCGAAATGATGAGACTGAAAAATTGCCATGGAAAGAGCATCTCTATAAACAAGACGGGGTGCTTGGTCGGACCAAGGTAATCAAGAAGCGTCTAAATGGACAAAATGGAGCCAGCCAGCTCTTGTGCTGCTTTGGCTTTGGCAGTTGGCCTGTCAACGTATCACTCGAAATGGAGCAAGAGGATCCTCGGAGGCAATAAATTTCCAGTAATTTCGAAGCACATCCAAACAAATGTGACATAAATCGTCTGACTAACGGTAATGGAAGCATGCAAAGCCAAAAACTGACGCTAATGAATGTGGCCAACACAAATGTAATTGTCAAATGACAATTTGTTAACAATTGTTAAAAATGCAAAACTATTAAAATTTATTTCTTGGAGGCTTCAGACAGAAATAGCATAAGATCCGGATCGAAAGAAGATCGCTTTTCCATCTGATAAGCTTTAGAAAATGATCTTTCTATTTCAATTTCCATAAAAAAAATACATATTTGTGACTGGGGTCTGCATTATTTAGAAAGCATACATATATCCCCATCTTTAACAGCTCTCACCTTTACTCCAGCGACTTTCAAACTGTAACCAGGTCATTATCGAAATTGTCCAGAAGTTTGGCATTTTGATTTTCTAATTTATGGCCCAGACTTTCGCTCCAATCGTAGACCTGGCTGGCTCCCATGCATGTATCGTATCCATATGACTCCTACTCTGTGGTATCTATATCTAGTCGACTGGCTGCCATGTTCTCCTATCGCCAGAGTCCATGTCGTCGTCTGCTTCTCCTTTTTGGTCGTGGTGTGATTTTAATTGCTCGTACAAATGTTCTCCGGCGCGCATGCTCTGCAAGCTTTTCGAGTGCAAACCTATGTAGCCCAGCTCCGAGCCGAAATTGGGCAAGACAAAGCCAGACCCAGAGATTTATAGCATGAGTGGGGCATTTTCCGAGAGTGCAGCCTTTAGTATTTTAAATTTAGGTAACTCATGGCTTTGGCTGGTTGGTGGAAGGATCAGAGTGAGTGTAGAAGTAAACATACTTTGATCTACAAACACCTTTAGAACTTCTACCGAAATCTCTTAATTACTTTCATTTCCTGCTCTGACCATAAACAGCTTTCGTTCATAAACAACAGCCAATAATCGTAAATTAATTGCCAATAAACCACTTCCTCTAATCAAACATTGATGCAAAATGGCTGTCATTTGTCATTTGACACTCCGCCTCACTTGCAGCCGATGGAGTAGGAAATTACCTCCGTTAATATTCCATCCCAGCCCGGCGATTGCAAAAGCACAGCTCTTCACAATCAGCTTGAAAATGCCACCCAAACAAAAACGCATAAAACCTAATCTCTCGAGCTTTGACGAAAAATATTAATTAGAAAATAATATTCTTGAAAAATACGAGTATTCGTTGAGATGTGAATGAGGCGCAAGTCAAGCGCAACAATAATTAATAAATTATTTCCAGTCAATAAACTTTTCAAGTCTCTCGATGTTGCAACACTCAGGGGCGGGGGGGCATGCGGCTGGGCAGTGTGGCACCCCGCCGATGAGCAAGCGCCGCGCCAACCAGCCGTAGTCGCTCCATGTCAGTTCATTAGGGTCACAGTGACTGGGAAAACTCGAAGATCGAAGCTCGGAACCCGGCACTCCGGGACAGACCGACTCTGCTTTGGCGGTTCATAAAAATTAGTTGGCTATAAAATTAGCCCGGCCCGAGGAGGGTATTCAATTCTCGTAAAATCAACACAAATTGAATTGCACTCCATTCATGGAACTGCGTTCGCTGTCCAATATTTCCATTCTTTATGGCAGCCACAGTTTCTGAATGGAAATCAAAAGAACATCACTGCCGGGCCATGTGAAAACTCTGTTCTCTAACACTTTGTTAACACTCGAGAATTAAGGGAAGTGCAGGGCAGGTGTGAGCCGTCTTTAAATATAACTTTCCGGCAGGTGAGTTTGGTTTTCGGTGTGACTTTTAGCTCCTCGTAAACCGGAAAGTTTTCAAGTCAAAGAAAAGTTCTTAAAAATGGAAAATGGCTTGCACAGGAAAAGCTTTGGAGTTGGAAATTTTTGAACCATTTCTTCTTGGGACATAGTTTTTCAATTATTTAATGGAACGTGTCAAGAAAATTTTAAAAGGCTTCAATTAATCAAAACTTGCCATAAACATTTCATGAAATTTTATAAAAGCTTCCCAGTAAAATTTAAGTAAATTCAACGGAATTTTAGTTGAGTACCCTTGATTTTCTTAGTTTTTATTTATACTTGAAGATTGTTTAAACCTTGAGCCCAAGAGGCTTATATCTCTTGAAGATCTACCAGCACTTTCCTCTTCTCGTTAGCACATTTCATGCCCACACGATCATATCTTCCGACAGCCGCAACTTAAGTGAATTATTCCCCTTAATTCCAGAGAAACTTTCCTTCCTGTCGGATCAACGAAAGGCCCAGTACTTTCTCCCAAGTGGAACCATCTTTCTCTTCCGTTCTGGTGTGCTGGTGTCGAGCCAGGAACCTTCTCTAATCTAAATGACAACTCG